AAAAAGTTTGGATTTTGTTTATGGGTTTTTGAAAAATTTCCATGGAATTTCTTCCCAGGAAGATCGTTTATTGACCCGATTCAGGCTTTTCGATTCTCAAGTGTTATGGATTATGCTGTGTTGTTGGTGATGTTTGGTTCTCCGATTTAAGGATAATATTCTGATTGATTCGCTTGCTTTTTCTTTTTGCAGATGTGGAAGAGTTTTTCCAGCAATGCGATCCTGGTTAGGGTTTCTCTATCTATCTCTCTCTCTGGTCTTCAATAACAAAGGCTTAGCCCAAATCAATAGTAACTCGGAAAATTACTTTCTTCTGCTTACTTTTGTTTGGTACTGCTGACTGATTTATATTGAACATTTGATCAATGTTTCCTTTTTCCCCATGAACTATATGGTTTTTGCCTTTTGTGCTGTTATATTTCTTTGACTTGTTGCTTTGTGGCTTGACTATCACTACCACACATGGTTTCTTTATTGATCAAGAAATACAATCTGTGTTAATTGAGTCAAGTTGATAAACTGATGTTTGTATTGGATGACTACTTAATGACGTTTTCAGAGAAGGAGAATCTTTGCTTGTATGGATTCCCGAATGAACGCTGGGAAGTTAACTTACCAGCTGAAGAAGTTCCTCCAGAGCTCCCTGAACCTGCGCTCGGCATTAACTTCGCCAGAGATGGAATGCAGGAAAAAGACTGGATTTCTCTTGTTGCTGTACACAGTGATGCATGGCTACTTTCTGTGTCTTATTACTTCGGTTCAAGATTTTGTTTCGATAAAGCTGATAGGTATCATTCTTTCTTTCTTTCTTGATTGGTGTGTATTCTCTTCTGACTTGGTGGTCGTTGTTTAAGATCTCCTCTGCTCATATCTCTACGGTTTTCGCATCTCCACACTAACTGGTACACTTACGTATTCAGGAAACGCTTGTTCAACATGATAAATGAGGTTCCTACTGTATTTGAAGTTGTAACTGGAAGTGCGAAAAAGCAAACAAAGGAAAAGCCCTCTTCTGCAAATCAAAATGGCAACAAATTAAAGTCAAACTCAAATGTGGTAAGACTCATGCTGTCCTTCGATGCGATTCAGAACATAATTGCCTTTATTTATTCACTATGAACTAAGAACAAACCAAACCAAAAGAATCCTACCCATGAATTCTAGAGGATCCACTACTCTCCTAAACACTTTATCAACTCAATTTTCCGATCTTATCATGTTCGCTTCTCTATATAACTCCTCCCACGCTACACTAACCGACCTAAGTTAGTTAGCCAATCTAGCAACTCAAGTACAAGCCAATTCAAAAATAGCTACGGTATAAACCCTGAAAGTTTTGAAAATTAGCTAGTGTCCTTAGACTTTATGAATTGCTTCTTCTCAGCACCCAAGCTTCTTCTTCCTTCTACTCTTATCATCCTTTTTGATTTGTTTTGCAGTTTTTTAGAAATTAAGAATGGTTAATTGGATATAAAAAAATTGACTGCACTGGAATATGTTTTTTCACGTCGTAAAGGATTGAATGGATATATGGCAAATTCATGTCCGGTCATTACATAATCTTGGAAGTCCCTCTAGAGAACATCTTCCAGATTATTCAGTTCAATTCTAACAGAACACTACATTAAGAGATACATTTGGAAATATTTGAAAACTGAAATACTGGTTATAGTTATTCTTGGTTTTCATACTGGTTGAAATTTGTAGTTCTATGAAAGTTTTAACCCTCTTTTATTATAACTACATAAACTTATGTATATCACTTTAATAGATGGTTGTATGTCACTTCAATAGAATGTTGGAAACCCATTACCATATTTGCATAAGGTTTAACCGTTTAAGTATCAATATATTTTGCTTTAAGGTTTCTGTTGTAGCTTTCCACCTCTTTTTCTGCTAACCTCAAGCATTGTTAAACACACTAAATAAGCATGTTTCCTTAATGGTAGTTTGCGAATCCTGTGGCCTAGGAATCTCTAGGTTTGGGGAAAAACAAAGATGTGCAGTGTCTTCATTTGTAATTATCATGAATTCTTCGATGTTTTTTTTTTGGAATTTCAAGACCAATAACAATATGTAACAAAATGGTTGAGTTATCTCATGTTGCTAACAACTTCATTCCCTTTACATGGGATATGGTCTTGATTTATAAGTTGAACATTGATCCATATACACGTGTTGATTGGTTTTTGAAGTTTAACCTTTTGCTATTGCGGTGGAATGCAGAGAGGTTTAGAAGGCAAAAGTGCGAAGACAATACAGGCCA